CCCCTTGGCGCCCCGTTACCTCCTCTAGAGGCGGCAGGAAGCAGCCCTCCGCATTAGCGATTCTGTCTGATTAGCCCAAAGTGGGGACAGATAATGGGGATTGTTACCGATGAATAACATCTTGGGTGGCGAGCGGTAGCCACCACCCGCTCCTCCCAATCCCAGCTTCCTCCTCCTGGGCCAACCTGGGGCCTAGGCCCGCGGGAGCTCGGGGAATGGTGGGGGCGGTTTGGGTGGGTTTACGAGCACCCAGGAATTTATTCCTTGTTTGCATTATTCCTTGAGCTAGTTTGCTGGAGTGTTCGTTTCCCGCAATTATCCGGAAGGCGGTTTACAAGGCAGCGTTAAACTGCTGCGTTCTTTTTCTGATTTTGGTGGCCCCCTTAAGAGGTTTAGAGGAGAAAAGTTTCAGGAGGAATGGGCTGCTCCCGAGGCTCTTGGTGAGTTTTTCCAAAGCCAGCTAGGCGCTTCCCTATATCCCAAACGTCCCCTATAACTTTCTGGTTCCTGGCAGCTTCCAGGGAGCCCTAATTCTGCGCAGGTTTCCTCAGACTGGTAAATGGAGGCAAAATCTGGCCAAGCTGTTCAAGTCCGATGTGCCAGCCTCTCTGGCCTGGTCGCTGGTGCATGAGGGCTGGGCCGGATGGCCACACTCCTCAGAGCGAGCCTCGGATTGACAGCTTTAGTGTCCGGCAGGCTGTGGGTCTCTCAGAGCCCCCTGCAAGTGGTTGGAGGCTTCTTGGCATCGCCAGACCCTCTCTCGACCCTTGTGCGCCTAGGCTCTGTGGCCTATGTAATGGAAGAGCCCTGCAATGTCTGTGGAAAACCAGGCAACAGTTGCCCAGCCTGATCTGGGAATGGATTGATGGGGAGAATTTGAACTGAGCCCTCCAGGCAGAAAAGACCCCAGGGCTCAGTATTTCTCCGACATCTTCTAGTTCCCCGGAAAATTAGCTCCTACCTGAAGAAAAAAAAAATCAGTGTATGAGACACAGGGAGCCTCCCTGCGTGTGTACTTTTTTTTAACCCATGCCCTTAGCGGCACTTCAGTATAGGGCTCAGTGAGCACTCTCTCCAGGACTGCTCCTCCTGCTACCAGGTTTGGTTATTTGGTTGCTTAAATTTAGTGAGAGGTGCATCGGTTGGGTAGCAGCACCTACCTAAGTCTTGGCCCCACCTGAGGGGAATTTGGACCTGGTTTCCGTGCAGCAACCACGACCCAGTCGTCAGGGTGCACTCCCCCTGGCAGACTTCCTATCAAGCGTGCCAGAGGCTCCAGGGCTTCAGTGCGCACTGGGTGGTCGGGCGGAGGCAACCCCAATACAGGCCAACTGCTAGGCCTGGGACAAAGGGGAAATGGAGCTCGACGCCCAGGACCTGTTGGAAGCATTTGTTCCAGTCAAGATTTTGCATTTGTTCAGTCCGAAATAATGCGTGATTGACGCCTGCTTACAATGCGCTCTAGCACGCTGGGATAAATCGGAGCTTGTCCCGTGTTGTCATGGTTTTCAATGGGGTTCAATGGGGTTGGGAGCACGATCGACTGCTGGCCCTCTCTCTGAGCCCCTGGCAATAGATTTATTAGTTATGTCTTTTTAAATAAGATTAAATTGAAACGACTTAGCTGTCCTCTCTGAGGTTAGGAGGAAGAAGGAACATGGGTTAGGAAAAAGGTGGCAGAAATCAAAAAGTTGCTGCCCACTGCATCCCAGCATTCAAGCTCCTAGCATCCTAAAAGATCAGCATATTGCAGACTGACCCAGGGCCTTTCGGACTTATCTCCAAATAGAGCCAGACACCAGGCAAGTTCTGCCAGCCCATGTCCTCAGAGATGGCAGGAGGTACCTATGACCTGGGGATATTGACATGTAGAAGGAGCTCTGCCCTGGGTCTCAGTAGGCATCCTGGCTCTCTCTACCTCTGGCTAGCTTAACCACTTCATCACTCAGAGCCTTTTTTTTGTTTTGTTTTCTGAAACAGAATAGGCTTGATAAATTCTAAGGACCCTACCTATTTCATGACTCCATAAATCATACAAATGGAATCCAAGCCATCATCATTGTATTAACCAGTGAAGATCTGCTCTCTCCCTCCTACCCTGGAACTCTCATCCCAAGACTCTGGTTTCAAATTCTCCAGAATGTTCTAGGAAAGGAAATGTCATCTTTTTCATTTCCAAAGAGCCCTCCACAGGAGTGGGGTGGGGTGGATGACAATTTTGGAAAGAGAACCAAAAGAAGAGTCTTGGAGTGACTGACCTCTCTTAGCCTTTTAATCTATTTAACATCCTAAGCCCACACTGACGTGTAGAAATAAGTAAATGGCACTCTTCAGTTCTTAAGAGCTCTTCAGTATCAAATATTTGCTTTTACTCTTAGTATTTGGCTCCCAGAGAAGAGATACATCCTCCCCTTCCCAATCTAGCTTTGTGCTCTGGGAAGAATCTAGAGCTAGGATTAACACCAAATATTACTTCTGGCCTTGTCTTCCCTGACCTGGGAACAGTGTTCCTAAGCCCCAGTCTGAGCTGAGAGGTTCCAGGGAAAAGCTACCTCCTGGTTCTAGAAAGAGATTCAACTTTCTTGGTTCATGGTGGAGTCCTTCCCTCTTCCAAAGGAGGCTATGAAAGTGTAATCTTCCTCAACTTGCTCTGAGGCTTTTTCTAAATTGTTTCTCTGAGCTAGAGTCTGGGGACTCCAGGAGGGTATTCCATTTAAACTGTGCTTTCTAAAGAAATAGAAGGAGGTAGAGAGTTAGAATTATTAAAGAAAGATGCTTTGTTTATTACCTCTTTACACTAGAAAAACCCAGGAGTAGATAATTAGTTTTATATTGGGTCAATAGAATAAAGTAGTCAAGATACTAAGTTTTATACATCTTGGAGATATTTATCTTAATTGCCTCCAATTCATAAAAGAATCTTAGAATCACAAGTACATCTAACTGGACATTACTTCCAGATTTTTAAATATTGTTTAATATTATGGACACTTGAGTTTATTTTGCAGCCCTACCTAGTTTGTGAATATTGTTACTTGATTAGGTAAGTGTGTTTCCCTATAATTGGATCAAGTGCATCCCAGTATCAGTAAGAGTTTTAAATCTTTAGGCATCGTGGCATAGCGAATATATTTAAGCCGACTGCACTGACCGAGAGTGTTCTCCACCACTGCTGCGTGCTTAAGAATTCAAGACTAGAAAATTCTGAAATAAAAGTAAAGTATCTTGATTTTTTTAGGAAATGATTGCATCTATATCTTGCATTCTAGTTTTAAATCCTTCCATTTTGGTTAAGTGTTTCACAAAATCCTGCAAATCTATACAGTATTGAAGAAAGGCAACATTGCAAATTCCCCTTGATAGATGGAGGGCCCTCAACTGCCAGGACATTTTTCTTTGCCTCATAGCAACTGCTCTCCTTTAAAAAAAAAAAAATCAGTATTCTGGTTAAAATGGTGAAAGGAAAATAAAATGAGCTTTTGACACTTCCAAGAAGAAGTGAATGATCTTGACTGGCTTTAAGACAGAAAGAAAAGGGGGCATTTAAAATCAGACCTCTTTGCCTTTCCTTCTGAAAACTAGTTGCCATGAATAAGTAAACATTTCCCTTTAATGGCTAATAATCAATTGCTTGGTGGTGGTCCAGGCCTAGCTACGATTCTTTCTTGTTGTACTGATGATATATATACACACAGGACAAGAAACAGCAATTACTTTCAGATGGAATTTAGTACAACTTTTGAAATGGGCTTTAGATTTTATTGTTTAATGTCAAATGACAAGACTTGAAAGATCCCATCTTGACTTGGCATGGGTTTTTTGTTGTTGTTCTTGATCTTCAGGTTTTTAAGTATATCCATGAAAAAAAAATGGGGGTGGGGGGTGAGTTAGTGAATAAATTCAATGTATTAAAAAATAAATATATTTAATGACATATTCTGTAGTCTCCATTTCCCAAAGGGTCAACAGGTAACTTTGAATTTTTAACTAGTTTCTTGAATATTTCTGTTTTACAATGGCATAATAAGGGTAGTTAATGGTATCATGAAATATAAGTTGTCAGACTCAAAATGAGGTCTTGCATGGAGGGAGTGGGGGGTGAGTTGACAACTTTATTTGTCCAGAGCTGAACTTCTCATTTTGGTCCAATCTTTAGTTTTTAAACCACCAACTCCTTTGTTGACTGATATATAGTTTATATAACACAGGACCCTTATTGGTGGTTACACAATAAAGGTTCAAGCCCCAAGTCATACTTAAGGGCACAGTAAACTGACCCCAGGAATACCTTACACAGGCTGCCTACAGTGCTTGCTTGTAACCATCACCACTTCAGTTCCACTCAGTGATTATTGTTTTTTCTTAAATTACTCAAGCACTATGCCTAGGCCTCTATCTCTTTTTGAAAATCTACCTTTACTTTGTACTGAAATTAACTTCAGAATTTTCAAAGGGTTGAATTATTAACCTGAGATATTATTTGTGTCTAATTTGAAAATACTTTAAATACCAAACTAGATACTATTCTGGAGAAATATTTGTTAATATTTGGTAAACATAAGGAGTAGCTTTTCAGAGAGGTAAATAACTAAATATTCTATTGTGTTATTAGTAATGGTATAGCAGCAGTAGAATATCACTTTATTTTTAT